TGAATCGGGTTCAATTCAAGGTCGACCGCAGTGTTCGTTTGCTTGATAGTTTGTCCTCTGAGCGTGGGCGCTGGGAAGAAGGGAGCAAGTCATTCGAAACTCAGATCAGCACTCTCGTTGGCGATGTTCTCATTGCAGCTGCATTCCTTGCATATGCTGGTCTTTACGATCAGCAATTCCGTAAGGCAATGGCTGAGGACTGGGTCCACCAACTGGCGGCATCTGGCATTCAATTCAAGCCTCACAATCCCATAACGGAATACTTGTCTAATGCCGATGAACGCTTGACCTGGCAGAGTCATTCTCTTCCCGTTGACGATCTTTGCACAGAGAACGCCATCATTCTCAAGAGATTCAACAGATACCCGCTTATTGTTGATCCCTCTGGCCGTATTACAGAATTTTTACAGAAGGAAAGCAAAGATCGCAAACTCACTGTCACGAGCTTCTTGGACGATTCCTTTGTCAAGCAATTGGAGAGCGCGTTGCGTTTCGGAAACCCCATCCTTATCCAGGATGCCGAGCATCTGGACCCGATTCTCAATCACGTTCTCAACAAGGAATACCAGAAAACTGGTGGTCGTGTCCTCATTCAATTGGGCAAGCAAGAAATCGATTTCTCGCCATCCTTCAAGCTCTTCCTATCCACCCGGGATCCATCTGCCACATTCCCGCCGGATATTTGCAGTCGAACTACCTTCGTCAACTTCACTGTCACCCAGAGCAGCTTGCAAACACAGTCTTTGAATGATGTCCTGAAATTCGAGCGGCCCGATGTCGATGAACGTCGCAACAACCTTGTCAAGATGCAAGGAGAGTTCAAGGTCCACCTTAGACAACTCGAGAAGCGTCTTTTGCAGGCGCTCAACGAGTCCCGTGGTAACATTCTCGATGATGACAATGTCATTGAAACTCTTGAAACTCTCAAAAAGGAGGCTGCCGAGATTTCTCTGAAGATGGATCAAACCGAAGGTGTTATGCTCGAGGTGGACAACGTTACGCAGAACTACAGCATCATTGCCCGTTCCTGCAGTGCCGTCTTTGCGGTTCTAGAACAACTTCACCACATCAATCACTTCTACCAGTTCTCTCTGCAGTATTTCGTCGATATTTTCAATTCTGTTCTCTACCAGAACAAACGCCTTGCTCAGGAGAAGGATCATGCTGCGCGTGTCCAGATTATTGTTAGGGACTTGTTCATCAACACCTATAAGCGAACCTCCCTTGGTCTCGTTCAAAAGGATCGCATCACACTTGCCATTCTGCTTGCTCAAGCTACCCCATTCCCCATGGACAGGACCATTCTCGACCGCGTCCTGGATGAGACAGTGGAGGACGCGGATCTTTCAACTTCTGTGGACACTCGCGACCAAGTGATGACGAGGCTGGCCAACATGTCCCTCTTCAAAGAGCATATTCCAAACGTCACCCAAGAACAGTGGGATCGTTTCTTCGGCGAGGAGCTTGCAGAGAACGTGGTCCCGGTTATGTGGGACGAGAGTGTGTCGCAACTGGATCAACTGCTTCGGTCCTTGCTCCTTGTCAAGATTTGCCGCATGGACCGATTTGTTCCCAGTGCCGAGCGTTTCGTCGAGGCGGTGTTCGGCCGCGAGCTGTTCGAGGGTGGTGCCGACCTAAAGGATGTAGTTGACCAGGTCACTGCAACCAGGCCCATCGCGCTCAGCTCCAGCCCTGGCTTCGATGCCAGTTACAAGGTCGACGCTCTTGTTGAAGCCACCCGCGCAACCTGCGCCAACATTGCCATGGGATCTAACGAAGGTCTCGAAAGCGCGGACAAGGCCATCAGCAACGCAGCTGCAGTCGGTAACTGGGTGCTGGTCAAGAACGTCCACCTGGCGCCTGCTTGGCTGCAAAGTCTCGAGAAGAGACTGGATTCTCTCAAACCACACAAGGAATTCCGTCTTTTCCTATCTATGGAGTCCAGCCCTAAGATCCCTGTCAATTTGATCCGGGCCTCGCGTGTGCTGATGTACGAACAGCCCGCGGGTGTGCGTGCCAACATGAAGGATTCCCTCTCTTCGCTGAGTGTGAGAGCCAGCAAGCCTCCAGTCGAAAAGGCCCGTGTCTATCTCTTACTCTGCTTCTTGCACGCCGTCGTCCAGGAAAGGCTCCGCTATGCACCAAGCCTTGGATGGAAGGGCTTCTGGGAGTTCAACGACAGCGACGTAAGTACCCTACATCCATTTATTCCCCATAGAGACGCTAACATTTTCCCCTCAGTACGAGTGCTCAGCCCACATCATTGACTACTGGGTCGATTCAGTGTCCCAAGGCCGTTCCAACGTGGCTCCGCAGAAGATTCCCTGGGAGATGATCCGCACTCTTGTCGCAGAGATGTACGGTGGTAAAATCGACGACGCAGGCGATTACCAGCAGCTCGAGAACCTGGTCAATAGCTTCCTTACACCCGCCGCCTTCGAAGATGGCTACAAGCTCGTCTCGGGTGTAGAGAACGACAATCTTTTGACGCTGCCGGAGACCACTAGCATGCGCGAGTTCGTCGTCTGGGTTAACAATCTGCCGGAGCGTGAACCCCCTACCTACCTGGGTCTCCCTGCCAATGCCGAGAAGCTCTTGTTGGTCGGCCATGGCCGTAAGATGATTTCTGATCTCTCGCGGGTTACGACTCTTCTTGATGAAGGAGAGCAGTTGATGGTCGATGCCTGATTTGTACCTGTTTTTGTTTAATTCTTTTTTTCTAGAGTTCCTAGAAGGGTTGTATTCTTGTTCTACTAGCACCGCTGGCGGATTTCTATTTCTATTTCTTGTTCTGAGTTCAATTGTATTGTATTCGACTTTGTATCTTTCTTTGTACATTTTCCTCTTGGTCAGCACCGGGAACGTCTGATCTTGCCTGTACATCACAGTAACTTTCGCCTACTTACATCCTACATGTATTCTATCACGATGCCCTATGAAACTCGAGTGTACTCTTCACCTCATTACGTATCTACAGACTACTAATATATTTTCAGGATATGGTCAAAATAGCATTAAGTATCATGTATACAGTCTGTGGATTATCTGGTCCGCATAAGGGAAGAAGCAGTCAAACCGATCCTCTAGACATAAATGAGGGCATCACGAAAACCATCACAACGAACGCCAACAATCAAGTCCCGCAGGGGAGAATGAGGTACTATGTACGCGAATTAGGCGGGCGACCTTTACGAGATGAAAGTCGACTCGGAGAACATAGTTCCCTCCTCGGTGATCTCCTCATCGCCGATCTTCAGCTTCAAGGACAGCTTGTCCTGAGGCGAGTACTGTACAAGGAGAGTTAGCTATAACTATCTTGATAATAAACAAGACGAGGGTAAGATGGGACAGACCTGGAAGATGTACGGCCGAGTACCGGCAACACTGCCAGCAATGCTCTTAATGAAGCCTGGCACCTCGGCCATGACGTCGATGCGATCCAATCGCGAACCGAGGCCGCCGCTGACTTCGGCTGTGAGCTCCTTGTCGTCGGTTGTCTTGCCGCTCCACTCCCACTTGATGGCCTTGGGCGCGGGCCAGTCACTGCCCTCGTCGTGGCCGGTTTCTGTGTGAGTCACTGTGTTGTTTGTGCCGACATAGATTACCTTGCCATCCTTGACAATACCACCGACGTTGACGGTGGTGGAGCCGTAGGAGGGGGGAGTGGTGTACTCCATCATGACGGCGGAGTAGGTAGGGGTCTGGAAGTTAATGAAGTTCCAGCGGGCGGCTGTGTGTTTGTTAGCATAAAGCGGTTCTGGTTGTCAGTCTATGTATAGGGCTTCTTACCAGCGTGGTGAGGCTTCATGCCCTGCAGGGCCATGATGAAGAGACCACGACCAGTCATGTCGTAGGTCTTGTCCTTGGTGGTAATAGTGCCTTCGGCGGCACAACGGGGCCAGAAAGCGTGGCGCATGGAGCCCCATGGCTTATCGGGGTCGGTTCCAAAGTATGAGGTACCGTCCTTGCCGACGACGAAACCGGGTGCAGTCCGGGAGAACTTGATGTCCACTAGGGCGCCGCCGTTGACGGTGGACTTGATAGAGTAGGAGTCGCCCTCCTCGTTGAGGGTCAGCGACAGGTTGTCGGCACCGAAAGAAATCATGTTCTCGTCGAACATGAAGTTAGAGAGCGGGTCCGAGAACCACTTGTTGTCGCCCTTTCCGCTGAGGTCGAAAATCTTGACGTTGAACTGGGCGGTGGTGTGAATTCCACTATAATCAAGATCAAGGATTAGAGTCAGCCGCTGTAGGTCTTCATTTCATGATGGAAGCTTCAAGCTCCGGCTGAGTGTTCCTTACACAATGTTGCTGTAGATAACCTGAAGGAAAACCACTGTCCCGTTGTCGGCCATGATGTAAAAGGTCTGGGTTTCGACATTGGTATAAGAGTGTGCGCGCCAGCGCAGAATCTCCTTGTTCACATCGGAGAAGGGAGTGGTCTCGCCCTGCTTCGCAACAGACTGGATAGCCTCTGGGCCATAGATAGGCTCCTCAGTGCCCACCACGGCGGAGAGACTGTCCGCATGGAATCGGTCAGTGTAACCACAACAGAGAAGAATCGATCGGAACGTACGTCGACTTTAACCAGTTCATTATTTCGATAAGTTTGGAATTAATAAAAACTGGAGAAGAAAGAAGAAGGAAAAGGGAGGTGAAGGGAAGATCGACGCGCGGGGCCCGAGAGTTCTAGTTCGGATGTCAATGGGACTCTCCGGATGAGAAAGATACACCAGATATTCGATCCAACGGATGAGAATAGAGATTGAATCTAGATATCGTGAATGTCGAGATGAAGATGGTTAGATGAATCGATTAGAAGCCAAAGAAGCTTCTGATGAGGAGAGAAAGGAGTGTACCTTATGACGTTGGGGTTTCTTGTGCTCGCTTCCCGCTCTGGCCAATCAGCGTCGTCGGCTGAAAATCTGCAAATCTGCAAATCTTCCGAGTTCGATCTTCTCTGCTTGTGGCCTTTGGAAACCATCTCGACATCTTCTCATCATGGCACGAAACGTATTGTCCAAGGATCAGTTTGTGAAGCTCATCGTTGGAGCTGGTCAGGCCAGTCCCAGTCCGCCTGTTGGACCGGCTCTGGGAAGTAAAGGTGTCAAGTCCATGGACTTTTGCAAGGTTAGTCTTTGTTTACTCGGTTTATATGAACCGTTCATGTATATTAACTACTTCTCTAGGAATTCAATGCCCGTACAGCTCACATCAACACCGGTGTCCCGATCCCTGCGCGTGTCACGGTCCGCCCCGACCGATCCTTCTCCTTTGAACTGCGCACCCCGACCACCACTTACCTCCTGCTCAACGCGGCCAATGTCGAACCCCGGAAGAACCGGCTGCGTGGTGCGATGAATCCTGGCCACGATGTTTGTGGCAAGATCTCCCTCAAGCACGTTTATGAGATCGCCAAGCTTAAGCAGACCGAGACGCGGTTATCAGGCTTGTCCCTGGAGGGATTGTGCAAGAGTGTCATGTCCCAGGCCAAGTCCATTGGTATCCAGGTCGTTCCCTGAGCATCACAAGGACAATAGACTTGTATAATTATTGGTCATTCCGACAGTGCTCCAGGGGGCCTGCTTGTTTTGATTTGGATCGGTTTACCGGGCGTTTTCTGGGAAATTTGGGGTTTCTTCTTCCCCCGTTGTACGATACCGATTATTATTTTTTTCCAGATTGTCTATATCTGTTGAAATCCAAGAGATATTTACATTGAAAGCTATATACTACTCCGTACGCAAGCGGCGGCAAGAGTGACTTATAAAGTCAAATATAGACCAACTAATCACCACAATGCAATTGAAATGGGCTGACATGTGATCACACGCCTACTAAGACCCTCCCCGGTTTTCCCGTGGACCTCTTCTCGGCGATGACTGGACAACCAAGAGAAGTGACCGGAAGCCTACAGATGAGGTCACAGACTCCAACTGATCTGCGGAGCGGAGAACTTGGCATGTGTGTGACTTCGTAGACCCTGAATGTGTCACTGCATAATGTCGACATGCTACTTGGCATGGAGTCTGGAGAATCTAGCGGAGAAAGACGGCCTGGCCCTTTACGATGTCGGAGAGGAAAGGGAATCTAGTGGAGTCAGCAGATATACTAAGCCCGTTCAGGCAATATTCCAGATCCAAAGACCCATCGTCCAGTGGCCTGCAGAGGGTACCGATGTACAACATGAGTACTCCATACGTCGTAGCAAGGCTTGGGAGTACGTAGGGCCTGGTCAGCGTCTGGTCAGCGCCTCCGGGAAGTCGGCACGGGGTCGACATCATCTTGAACTCTCCGCGGCCATCCGACTTATGAGGTAAGGCATTTCAAGGACAGTTTGGGTAAATATGGGGTATATTTGACATATTATCGTGCTCATCTGGTAAATTGGAAATAGGCCAAACGAAAAAAAGGTCATTAAATGCAGTAAATGAGGTCAAAGACAGACAAACTACCACTCCCTCACTATCTCTCTTCTTCGTCGTCTTCCTCCCTCCCTCCCACCCCACTCGCCCCCAAAATCCCAGGTTTGCCTGAGGCCCAGACCCTGACATCTCCCCTCTTCTCTTTCTCTTTTACTTCCTTTGCCTCTTCCCTCAACCATCTCCGCTTCTCATATCTTCTCGTTTAGACCCGGGATACCCGGATTCCCGGATTCCTGAACCAGACCCGGGTGCTCTCGATCGCATTCGGCGGAAGAAAAAAAAGTTAAAAAGGGAAAAGATTTGCCTCTTGCGTCGGTCTTTGACTCCTTAGGCTCTGTTTGGGAGGAAACCGTCCAATTCTGCGGATTTGACCACATTTGACAGCTTTTGAACTGGTTTTCAGTTCGCTATCTAGGATTCTCCAACTCACCCACCGTGAGGGGCATGTGTCCCACGTTCCGGGCCGAACTGCGAACACTATGACGTCTGAAATGACTGATCCAACACCCACCAACCCCATGGGTTCAGGTATGTCTTGGCTGCCGTGTTGATCGGTTGTGATGGTGTCTCCCATATCCCTGCCAACCGTCTGACGCACGTCTACCTCTCTAGAATCCCAAAGTATGCACAACCCCGCGAAGATCCCCGGCCAGGCCTCGGAACCCGGTGACGCCGATGCCAAGTCAAGAGCTCAGCCTAACCAAGTCCGTTTCTCCTCCATCGCGGAGGAGATTGAACCAGGTCGATCAGATTTGTCCCCTGTATCAGAGCAACCAGAGCAACCAGACCAGCCAGACCAAAGGCGACCTACGGACGAGGAACAATTACGGTCGCTGGCGATGAGTATGCAGGGCGCACAGCTTCAGGAGTCCCGCCTGCGGAACTTCTCCTTTGACCCCATGTCTCTTCCTTCCTCCAGGGTATGTCCATATCTATCTCTCTTTTTTGGTGTCGGGTGTTCTTCCGAGTCTTCCAATCCCTTCAAGCTTAAAGTGATATTCACTTCCCACAATCCGACGCCGCTGAGTGGAGACTCAATGGACTGTGGCAATATCGTCATCATACTAACCTTGGATCCTCATAGGTTGCATCTCGCGAGTCGAGTGATCGTAGTGGACATGGCACCGGTGCCTTTGCCTCGCCGCGTCCGTCTCCTCCAACCTCTGCTGTACAGTCACCCCCTCTTACTCCAGCTGCAACCCATTCTCGCGAAGGCCGAACCAGCGACAGTTCTTCTCTGAGAGCTACCAGCCGACCCCACGCGGACACTAATTTCACCCCTGAAGCGTCACCTCCAGTCGGATCAACCGAAAAGAACAGCACGCCTCAACCCAGCTCATCCTCCCGCCCTCAGTCCACCGAGCCTACCAGAAAAAGTGAAGGCTCAGAGCGAGCTCCTCATGCTATCCAAGTACCCAAAAATCGTGCGCAATTCTTCGTCGGGAATGACGGGAGCACCCCCCAAGATGAAAGTCCCCCTTCGACTCCACAGGAGTCTCTTACTCCGCCAGTGACTATGACCCCTGTGGGCGAACCTAATGATCCATATGCGCGCCATAAGCGACCACCCCAGTCCAAAAACCTTGCCCAGTTGGATCCTCGCTTTATCTTCAGCGGTCGGGATGTCAAACGGTCATTTCGTCCCTCGGCTCCCCGATCCAGTAGCGCGAGTGATCTCAGCAAACCTAGTGACAAGCGGAGCATATTTGGAAGTAAGAAGGAGCACGGTAGCGATAAGCACCACGGCCACCAGCATCATGGCTCTATGTCTGAATTGAAACGATTCTTCAAGATGGGCCATCGCAACAAGCGATCCGAGTCCCCGACATCGATGCCTAAAAAGTCGAGTCCATCAGCTGGAAAGTCCACTCCGTATCAAATGGCTACCGAAAATGTTCCCTTTGCCGATGATCACGGTCTGAATTCCAAGTATGGAAAGCTGGGCAGAGTGCTCGGATCTGGAGCTGGTGGCTCGGTGCGTCTCTTGAAGCGCAACAGTGACGGTGTCACCTTTGCAGTCAAGCAATTCCGAGACCGTCACAACTGGGAGAGCTTGAAGGAATACTCCAAGAAGGTGACTGCAGAGTTCTGTATTGGCTCCACCTTGCACCATGGCAATATCATCGAGACCTTGGATATCATTCAAGAAGGCAGTCGCTGGTATGAGGTCATGGAATATGCGCCGTTCGATCTGTTTGCCATCGTGATGACCGGCAAAATGGGCAAGGAGGAGATCGCCTGCTCTTTCAAGCAGATTCTGAGCGGTGTGGCGTACATCCATGGCATGGGTCTGGCCCATCGGGATCTGAAACTGGATAACGTGGTGGTGAACGACCGTGGCATCATGAAAATTATTGATTTCGGAAGTGCCGTCGTATTCCGCTATCCTTTTGAGAACGACATTGTCCCTGCTTCAGGTAAGTAATCCTGTATCTTTTTTGTTCGCCGTTGGTGGTTATTGATTTGCATGACCAGGTATCGTTGGCTCTGATCCTTACCTTGCTCCCGAGGTCTACGACGAGAAGAAATATGACCCTCGCCCCACGGATGTCTGGTCGCTGGCGATCATCTTCTGCTGTATGACCTTGCGCCGGTTCCCATGGAAGCAACCGCGCCTGACCGACAACTCATACAAGCTGTTCGTTTCCAGCCCGACCCCAGGCACCCCGGTTCCTGAACCGGAGCCACGCCGTCGGCCCAAGTCGACACCAGATCTTCTTTCCCAAGCCCAGGACAATAAGCGTTTGACCCCTCGCTCGAGCGGACCTGATCAGTCTGGAACGGACCAAAATGGAAACGGACCTGAAGATGCAGAAGCAAAGAAATTAGAACCCCCCCTCCAGAGGGAGGATGATCCTCCCGATACTGCTCAAAAGCAGATCAGCCAAACCAGCAACTGCGCCCATGATCGGCCCACCCGAACGACCAGCAAAGAGGCACCGCCGGTTCAGACATCAACCCAGCCTTCTGGGCAGCGCCAAGAGGTCATCAAGGGCCCATGGCGACTTCTCCGGATCTTGCCGCGGGAAAGCCGGTACATCATTGGCCGCATGCTGAAGACCAACCCGAAAAACCGAGCGACTCTCGACGAGGTCCTGGCGGATGACTGGGTAAAGAACATTCAGGCCTGCCGACAGGACGTGACTGGTGAAATTATCAATGCCCCCGGCCACACCCACGTCCTCGAGCCCCCCGCCCAGACCCCTGCCGTGGCCAGCAAAGCTGCCAGGGCCAAATAATATCCCTTCTTTGTATCAACTTCTCCTCGTGTCTATATATCCCCTTTATCCTTTGAGAACGGGGTGGCACTTTTGTCCCCTTCCCTTCCGCGTTCAGTGTGTGATTCCCTACGAGTATTGTAGATGATTTGGCGGTTTCCCTCATTCCCCCGGCCATGGTTGAGATGAGTTGATATTCTTCAATAAAATTCTGTGACATTTTATCGCGCTCGAGTTTCTCTTGTGAAGATGTTGAGGGAAAACGGAGCACTGGCTCTGGCTTGACGATGGATGGTACTGATAGACTTGGTGTGGGATGTCTCAGTGCGTGTTTTTTTGGGGGTATTCTTTTGTCAATGCCCCACGCTTGTGCGAAAGAGCTTTATTTTCTTCAATAGTAAATACATTTCAATCCAAACGTCGACCCTACGATAGTATAAATTCTTTTGAAGTGGACGTAGCGAAGATCGGCGATATCGGATGGCCTGACCGCGGAGCAAAAGAAACTGCCAGCCATATCCGCGGAGCTTCTCCGTTTACGCTGCTGTACAACCTACGTCGTTGCCGTTCTCCCTTCCTACTTTTCCAACCAATTGGCCATGTTCTTGTGATAGAACCATCTTCATATCCAATTCTATTCAAAAATGGCCCAACCTGACGGGGAGCCATTGGTCTCCTCCCTGTGGACGCGGTCATTAATTGTAAGCTTCTCCAGAGCTCTCTCCGGGAGTATCCCTCTAACAGCTCTACTATATAGTCCGGCGCGATTGCAGGCTTAACCGTCGACTGCTCTCTCTACCCTCTCGACACCATCAAAACCCGACTCCAAAAAGCACGCGACCACACCGCACCCCAAACCCGTGTCTCCCTCCGCCAAACCTTCCGCGGTATCTATGCCGGCCTCCCATCTGTCCTCTTTGGCTCTGCCCCCTCCGCCGCCTCCTTCTTCATCGTCTACGATAGCGTCAAGCGGACTCTGCTCGTACCTCAATCTGCCAACAGCAAAACTAACTCCCAATCCCGCTCCCACATAATCCTCACACACTCACTCGCCTCCTCCCTCGGCGAAATCGCCGCATGCGCCGTCCGCGTCCCAACAGAAGTCATTAAGCAGCGTGCCCAAGCCGGCCTCTTCGGCGGCTCGAGTCTCCTTGCACTGAAGGACATCCTGTCCCTGCGGCACGCGGTCCCAACAAGTACAACCACAGCGCCCTCGGCCCCAGCACCGAAGCGCGGCTACAGCCAGGTCTTCCGCGAGCTCTACCGCGGCGCGGGCATCACAATCGCCCGCGAGATCCCCTTCACCGTGCTGCAGTTCACAATGTGGGAGTCAATGAAGGAAGCTTACGGCAAGCGGTACCTGCGAACCGCGGAGACGGCCTCGTCTCTCGCCGAGACGCAGATTCCCGCTACCACAAGCGCCATGTTCGGCAGTGTTGCCGGCGCCATTGCGGCTGGCCTAACTACCCCGCTAGACGTGATCAAGACGCGGGTTATGCTTGCGCGGCGTGGCGTTGACGCGCCTGTTCGTGTTAAGGAGATTGTGCGCGGCATTGCACGTGAAGGGCCCGGTGCTTTCTGGCGTGGTATCACGCCGCGTGTGACGTGGATTGGTATTGGTGGGGCTGTTTTCCTTGGGAGCTATCAATATGCTTCGAATACTCTTGAGGGACGCCAGGCGGCACAGGCGGAGAAAAGTCTTTGATTGGATTTTTCTTGGCCTTGTAGTTTGTATATTTTTGCTATATAGAAGGTTGGAAGAGCATAGATTCTGTAGATTCTGGGAAGCGAGTTGTTTGAGCAATTATATGTCATTCTTCTTACTTGCTCGGACTGCTCTCGGCTTGAAGCAGCCCAATTCCGGGATTTGCTCGACAGCTAATAGTTCTTCCATCTCCCTTTTGCGCAGGAAATCATGGCCTGCAAGCTCAAGGCTTGGGGCAACGCCCTTGGCGACTCGTGAATCAAAGATGCACATCTATAAGATGGACTAGACGTTCCTGGCTAATCAGCGAAGAAGTCAGGCTCATCGGTAACATAAAAGAAGCCTTATATTGTGTATACTTACACCCTTCAACCCACTGCACTGGCTTATAGATAGCTGAAATTCTGGAATCAGATGAGCATTCGTGCAATTACGGAGAATGACGCGTATAGCTTTAGGGTGTGAGATGTTCTGCAAATCTATACGAGCTGCAGCCTTCTCGAAGCCCCAAACCAAGCCCTATCTTGGCGATGCAGCCAAGCTGCTCTATCCGTATGTTCTGCACGAGCTTAAGTCTCATTCCATACGAGACGAGTGGAGCATCCAATTGACTAGACTGAGCGCAAATCTGATCTCCGGGTGTCAAACCATTCGGAGCGGGCAAGTCAGTACCCCATTGGTAGGGCTGAAGGATTGTTCCTCTAAACGAGGAGTCTTGTGGATGTGCATAATATATAGTTATGTATTGTGTATCTTGTTAAAAAGTATATCTGGTATCATAGAAGACTATGGAACTTATAGATGTAGTCAAATCGTTAAAATAACCGAGAAGCATTCCAGAAAGGGAAAGGAAAGGCCCCCGGGCTATTAAATAATGGAGAAAGACGAGTAATCTCATGATTTCTACTTGAAGGTCGTATTGGATATCACATAGGAAGGCCAAACACATAAACACATAAACTCCGGACCCCTGGCGCCTCCAACTCTGAACTTCCCCTCATTTGACTGTTTTCCCCTTCGCTTCTTTTTTCCTTGGCCTTTTGACTTTCTCTCTTTTGATCGTCGCGAATGCTCTGACGTTTACTTTCCCCACCAAAACTGAACGTGCGATCGGCCTCGACAGATAAGCTCCGCATTCGCATCTCCGCAATTGGTTTCACTCCTTCAACGCTGCATGTATGGCACGCAAACTAAGTCACCAGAGGGTCACCTACGGTATGTTGGATCCTGTGTATCCACCCCCACGTCGCTGACTGTGTCTCTCACTCTAGTCCTCCCTCTGCCTGATGCACCCGGTGGGCACCGGTTGGGGGTCAATGGCTTGACTGTCGACCGTCAGAACTCCATCCTGTAAGTATCTTTCCCCCGTTATGCTAGTGCTGGGATCCATGATCTAGTTTTGAACCCGTGCCAAGTTTGCGATCGCGATCTTCCGGAAATCAGGCTTCTTTACACGTGGATTGCACGGATACTAATATGACGTCCCCTCTCCTAGCTACTCCGCGGGCCGCGACGGTGTCATCTGTTCCTGGGATCTCGACTTTCCTCTTTCCTCTGCGTCTGCGCTCTCGTCTCCTGGCCAGAAGCCCCGTCCGACCGTCTTCAAAACCCAGGTCCAAGCACATAGTCATTGGATCAACGACATAGTCTTGGCACAGGACAATTCCGCGCTTGTTTCGGCCTCGTCCGACACGACCGTGCGACTCTGGCGCCCACACTCCGAGTCAACCGAGGTCCCGGAGCGCATTGGAAAACATACCGATTATGTGAAGGCCCTAGCGAGCCCCGGTAGCCAGGCTACTTGGGTTGCCTCGGGCGGTCTCGATCAAAAGGTTTACCTCTGGGATTTGAATGGCGGCGGGGAGATATTGAACATCAATGCCGGCGGGGAAGACTCCTCGGGTAAAGGCTCTGTCTATGCGCTGGGTGCGGTCTCGTCGGTGCTCGCTAGCGGTGGCCCTGAGAATGTCGTCCGAGTATGGGATCCCCGGTCTGGAAAGCTTGTGACGAAGTTCGTGGGCCATACGGACAACATTCGTGCTATTATGATTAACCAGTCCGGCGACACAATTATGACGGGGTCGTCTGACCAGACGATCAAGATCTGGTCTCTCACAGCGGGTCGATGCATGAACACCCTGACCATGCACAATGATAGCGTGTGGTCTCTTTACTCGGACCACCCCGATCTCTCTGTCTTCTACTCGAGTGACCGTTCCGGCTTGGTGGCGAAGACCGACATGCGAGGATCGGCCGATCCCGACCAGGGCCTCTGCGTCGCCGCACTACAAGAGCACGAGGGCGTTGTCAAGGTTGTGGCGGCGGGAGACTACATCTGGACAGCTACCCCCAAGTCTAGTATCAACCGCTGGCGAGATGTTGACATCACGGTGGGGATCGAGCCGGCCCCCGACCCAGCACGTACTATAGACTCTGCTGCAAAGCCCGCAACCCCAGAGAAGGGACCGAAGAAGGTTCCATATAATGCTCTTTTGCAGTTATCAGCGACCTCGATTCTTGGTGGCGCAGCCCCTAAACTTAATTCCTCGGAGCCTAACTTGGCGACAATTGACCTGACAATTCCGGTTCATTCACAGCCCGAGGAAACCATTGAAGGCCAACACGGCTTGATCAAGTGCTTGATGTTGAATGATCGGAGGCGCACACTTACTCAGGATTCGGCAGGAGAAGTTGTTCTCTGGGACCTGCTGAAGGTGATTTAACATCTCAGCCGGAGAAGTATAAGACATCGACTAACATGAATCTAGTGTATTCCTGTCCAAACCTTCGGCAAGCGTCATATGGATGATGTTGAGTCAGAGGTAAACACCGTTGATAGTATCGGACATTGGTGTGCCATCAACGTACGCACTGGCAGGCTCTCAGTCATTCTAGAGCCCAATCGCTGTTTCGACGCAGAAGTTTATGCCGACGAGATCGATCTACCACTATCTGAGCTGTATCAATTTAGGGATGATCAAAGAAGTGAGTATTTCCTACGACTATTCATTCTGCTCTACTGTCAACCTTGGCGGATATTCTTTGCCATACTGACAACACGCAGTCAATCTCGGCAAATGGATTTTGCGCTGGCTGTTCGCTCTGGTAGTAGACGAGGAAGTCCGACGAGACAACGATTACCGCCAAACTGCCATCGCGAGAGCAGAAGAAAATGCTCGACTGAATCCGCTGACTACCTCGATATCTGGCGATGATGTCCCTCGCAGCATTGGGATTCCGATATCGAATCCTCATCATATGTCGACTCTGCGTCCCAGCTCAGACTTCCCTGGTAGCCCGAACATCGGCTTTGGCATCAATGTTGGCACACCATCGTCAAACTACATGAGCACTTCCATGCAGAGCAACTCTCCGTTCCCCGCATTTGAACCAGACACACCTGATGCCTCGGGGCTAACAAATTCCCATGTCGATGGCGGGGCATCATCCTTTTCACCAAGTGACTACTTCTCGAAAAGGCCTCTAGCGGCCCAACAAACCGACACCGGCAAGTCTCTTCTGTCTCCGTCGGATGCAACTCCAGGAGTTCCTCAATCCCCCGCAGAGCCTGATAAGGAAGAGCGGAAGAAGTCACTATTCGGAAAAAAGTTCCAAATGAACTTCCCCAAGAAGTTGGGTCGCAATTCTACGGAGACGAAGCCTCAGATATTAGAAGAAAAGGTCGAAGAGTCGGAGATCTCCTCTATCAAGGAAGAGAAGGTCTATGAGCCCAATCTCTGTGGCGTCGTTGACCGCATTCGTGACGATTATGAAGAATTTCTGGCTACAAATACAGATCGAGAGTTGGAGACGGCTCTTTCTCCTAGTTCTGAGGAGGAAACTCCGCGACTGGATATCCCAGCCCGGACTGCAGTCTTCATCCAGGAGGAAACTGGCGATACTGCCGTTGCCTCGGATCTCTACAGAGGTACCGTGGGCCGCGTTGGTGAAGACCTCGAAAGCCTTAAGAAATCAATTCCTCATTGGCTCGGTGAGCTTCTTCTGAAGGTACGTCTATTTTCTCGCATTTTCTTTCCTCTCTTACTGATCATTCGTTATAGAATCAAATTCCCTTCAAGGAGCAGGTCAAGATCGCCTTCGTATTGAAGCCTTTCGATGATACCTTGCCGCCAGTCGTCAAACCCGACCCGTATGTTTTGGATCTTCTGGAATGCGTGTTGTTGATGAAACTAATCTCGTTATTCATCCAGGCCAGCTCCCAATGGTGCCCCTCCGGGAAATATGAACACTAATAACAATGGCTCTCGTCTTAATGCCAACCGCATGCTCCGAGCAAAGAAGGTTCTTGCTTATGTCGCAGAGCGCATCGACCCTGCTAACCCGGATGAACCGGAGTCCGTTATGCCACCAGAGGAGTATCTCGAGCTATACTGCCAGAAGACTGTAAGCTTTTCTCCTATATTTTATTGTCGCCAATCATGCTAATCTTCATCCACCAGCTGTGTCCACCAAACATGACTCTAGCAACGATTCGCACGCACCTCTGGCGCACCTCCGGAGACATGGTTCTCTACTACAAGACAAATGGCAAGAAAGAGATTCACCCGCCCCGGTCTCTCCTGGGAATTGATGAGAACCATGTCCTTGTGGAAGAAACCCACATTCCGAACGGGGATAGCCACGCACATGCACCACCCGGGAGTATCCATTCTGTGACCAACTCGGCCTCTGTCGCAGGCTCTGCTATCACCTAATGAAAACCTAGTCTTTGGGACCTTTCGTTGGCTTCTTTTTTCTTTTTTTTCTTTTTCCTTCTCTTCAAATTTTACATTTGATATTCAGCCTACCCCAATGCAATGAATGCTACATGCATGGGTTTGTAGTACATATGGGCGAGTTAGTTGATTTCGATTTTGATCTTGATTTTTTTGATGTCTATCACATCTCCTGTTTCTCTTCTTCTGGGTGTTAGCGCATCTGGCTTACTTGGCTGTAGCTTTGGGCCTTGCTTTTGCCTCAATCTTGCAGCTTGCATTCTCATGTATTAATGTTGCCGGTGTTCCCGGCAATATTGGCGAAGAATCGAATCAATGGATCCTTCAAAGCCTATTCTGTTGTAAACTCCGTTAATGGCCCCTGACTAGCTGCACTAACCGGACACCCAAGAGAGCTTGGGGTACTAACTATGTAGTTACACATTTCCCCGATGCAACGATCATATCAGATATGATCCTGACGGCTCTCGAAAAAGGGCAACAATTGCATTCCATGACTACATATGGATAATCATGATCCTAAGCTTGAACAACCATCACCCTGTTCCTTATAGCAACACCACTTTCTCCACCTCCACCTCTGCATCCCCCGCCTCTGCATCCTCCACCTCTGCATCCTCCACCTCTGCATCCGCCACCTCTGCATCCTCCACCTCTGCATCCTCCACCTCTGCACCCTCCACCTCTGCCCCAACTTCCCATCCTCAACAACCTAGGTACATCCAGTAGCACGATTGCTTAGACAAACATCACCACCCTGGTCCGAAGTCCCGAATCCCTCACAAGAAGCATTAATCTTATGCTCGGCCTGAACCTCCTGATTGCAAGCCGTCCAAGTACTCGAGAAGAACCCAGCCCGCACATTATAAGTCGACCAACTAACACAGCAGTTCGAGCCACCCTGCGCCTCGCAACGGCTACGCGGGGCCCTGTTAATCTGCAGATCAAACTGACAAGTCGTACCAGCAATACAAGAGAACACCGTACCGCACGCACTCCACAGGACAGCATGCGCCGCGCTAGTCGAGAAGGTCGACCGCTTCGCAATGCCCGCGGTAGTAGTGGTGACGTTCCCGGCAACGTGCGCGAGCAACGACTCCACGTCGCCGGCCATGTCGGCGTCGTTCTCGTCGTATTTCTTCGCGTACGCGGCTTCGGTCAGGATGCGCGCTTTCTCTTCGTCGCTGGTGGCTGAGTGCGGGTCCAGGCTGGTGAGCCAGGCTTCGGTCGCGCTGGAATATCCCACGTAGTGGACGTCCACGTCGAAGGCGCTCAGGTCGCCCTTCGAGTTTGGGAAGTAGTCGGAGGCTACGTGGTTGATGATGAAGCCGGGTTCTGGGGTTGGGGGTGGGGTTGAGGGCAGTGCAATGCCAGTGCTTAGCTGGGAAAGACCCAGGATAAGGCTGGTGATGATGGTGCTGGAGAGCATCTTGAAGAAGATTCTGGAGAAGTGTTTGGTTTCTGTTGGATGATTCTGATGATTGCTTGGTATGGTCGGGTAGGAGGCTCTCTTTGCTCCGTTCTTTCTCGGGGTTCTTATAGATCTGGGATTCTGCTCGAGCTGTCAATAAGAAGTACTTCGTCGAGGAGAATGCCTTGACCGAAGAGGCAATCCCATGCGGAGGGTGTCTTCTGCTGACGGGTTTACTCCAAACTGGGCGTGCATTGGGTTACATTCACACATGGAGGAGAGACATGGCACCGTTGGGGTTTACTTGGTATACTCCTATCTCGTGCTAATGAGACGGTTGCCTTTGTAGGATTGGACTTCTGGACCAGCACTAGTTGAGAGGCGTTGAGGATGGCTGCTTTTCCTTTGTGTATTCGACTCGGCCGAGTCCTGTTGGAGTATAACACTGAATGAGGCAGGTAGATCGGGTAAGCTTACGGAGGATACTATACCAGTTCTAGGGAATGGAAAGCCCGGCAATGAAGGTCTTCTGACTGCGGACAGCCACTTGGTATACTGCATTTTCCTATTTCTGATTAAGGTACAGAGTATAGCAGAAAGATTCGTGACATGATATCGTCAAAGCGGGGAATAACAATATAAAGTATATAAAGCAGAGACCGGTGTTGTATATACTCCCGTAGATCCCCCGCATAATGTGGACGGCAAATCCCGCCTTCGGCATGCAAGGTGTTCTTAAATGAGTTTAGCTTAGAAGAAGGGAACAACCTAGACTGAACTTGCATGAGAGCAACCAATAACAATTCCCATTCACCAGGAAATCCAAAATAGACTACCGAGTTCAGGGCTGATACAGAGCGATCGACGAACTGGTGTTGCTCCCACCTAGCCCCGTAGTTACATGTGGCGTTTTGCGCCCCATGACTCAATCCTTATTCTCACTCGGGGTTTGAATAGGGGTCCCCGCAGGGGTCTCACTGGCATCGGTGTTCTCGCGCGAGCGTCGCAGTTCAGGTTTGGCCTTTTTGGAGTTAAACGAGGGCCAGTAGCGGGTCATCAAAAACACAAGAGTCGGGATAGAGAGTATCCACACAGATGCCAAGAGTAGGAAGGTCTGGAATGGAGCTGCTTCGAGTCTTTCACTGATCAAGGTTCCGCAGTTTAGTAGGGATGTTTTAAGTGAAGCTGACAGTGACAGTGCCATGTCGGGCGATTAGGTTGTAGTTCGGTATTTGGGCTCTTCCACGGGGGAGCGTGGGGGTTGCAGTCCGGTGTCTGGTTGTTGGAGGCAGGAATTCTCGGTCGAGGGTAGGGAAGAGGAAGGTTAAAGGTCTGGGGAAAGTATACGGAGTAGTCGGGAGTATCAAAGACACCCAAGATAAGCGTCTGCCTAGAGTGCACGACAGAGGATTGGCTCGGATCTGCAAGATGTCTCAAATAGGAATGCACATCTTTATTATGCCGATATCTCACATTTAGCCGGCTTATTTGGCCTATTTTCTATATACCTCGCAGATCACTGTGATGGCAATGTACAACTTCGTTCTTATTGGTTGACAAAAAATAGGCTTGGAGATCCTTCCACTAGCATTGTTGCGGCTTCAAGACAACAAGTCAGCTAATGGTATTTTGCTTTTTCTTATAGTTCGGTCTAGCCTATACCCAAAATTGGGACTGCCACCTTTGATTTCTCAGCAATGTCACCTGCCGAGGTGTTATTGGGCCCACGTCACTGCTAGCGCGCTGACTAACGTTTGCCATGTCAATGAGGAGGTGCATAACTTAATTTGTAGTTAATATAAGGGGTCTCTACTCTGATGTGGCGATATATACCTGGAATCGTCCGAACCATGTGCCATTGTGTCTAACCCTGTATTCACGCCTTGGCCAGAGATCCCTGCAAAAATAAGCCAAGTGACAGGCTTAGCCGATGGTTTCAAAAGTACGAACTCCCTTTCTATTAAAAAGACGTCTTTCCTAATTGGGGTGCAACATGTGATGAAGAAAAAAAAATGGGGATATATAAAAGTGTGGGCTGATGCGACGGGGAAAATAGGAATTGCAGAACATTGAGGCTGAACTGCCATACATTCTTGATTTGCATATAGTTTTCACGTCTCTTGTTTCTGTTCAGATCAAAGAGATCAATCAATCAATAAAAAGAAGAGAAAAAAGCAATCATATCTCGTGGTCTAATGGCTGTACATGGTGATCTACTAACAATAGTACAATCTAGTACAACCTAATCGCATTTGCATTCCGACTGGGAATCCAATAAGATGCAGTATAGACCGCATAGTTCACAATAGTTCAATAGTTCATTAGATTCACAGCATCACATAAAACATAAAACATAAAATAAATTGGAACAAGTCCGAAGTCGTTGGGTACAAGTAGCGGGAACCCCGCCTAAACCCGAACTCGTCAAGATTCTCTCCTTCACCTTCCCGCCAACATCATACGGTGTCACCAGGGCATATATCAGCAACATGACAAAAGGATCAACCCAGGTCGAATATCCGTATAATCTGGGGGCATACGGGAAGGTCATCACCACCACCAGTCCTGAGGCCCAAATATGGTTTGACCGCGGTCTCGTGTGGGCATATTCCTTCAACCATAAGGAATCCATCGTCTGTTTCAAACAGGCATTGGTGCATGATCCATTATGTGTGATGGCCTACTGGGGGTTGGCCTACTCTCTCGGTCCCAACTACAACCAGCCCTGGGACTTCCTCGGCAACGATTTGGCGGCCGTCGTGGAAAACACATATCGAGCCGCAACCAAAGCTCGCTTCCTGTCTGTAAAAAATGGGAACGCCGTGGAACAGGCCCTCGCCAAGGCCATCTCCGCCCGCTATCAGAGTGATAAGCCTGCGAGCATGGATCAATATGCCATTCAGAATATTGCATATGCCGATGCAATGAAAGAGGCATATGAAAAGTTTAGCGATGATTTGGACGTGGTCGCTTTGTACGCTGATTCCTTGATCAGCCTCACGCCCTGGAAGTTGTGGGACATGGTGACCGGAAAACCAAATCCGGGCACCCGTACCATGGAAGCAAAAAAGGTGCTAGAGACCGCTCTCAAACATAAGGACGCCTCCAAACACCCCGGTCTCCTGCACATCTACATACACCTTATTGAGATGTCGCCCTTTCCAGAACTAGGCCTGCGACCGGCCGACTACCTCCGCGATCTGGTTCCGGACGCGGGCCATATCAATCATATGCCGTCCCATCTGGACGTGCTGGTGGGAGACTATCGAAGCGCCGTCCGCGCAAACCAACGTGCCGCGATTGCAGACGAGAAATACCTGGCGCTGAAAGGCCCATTTAATTTCTACTCCGTCTACCGCATGCACACCTACCACTCCCTCATCTACGCGGCCATGTTTGCGGGCCAGAAACAGGCCGCATTTGCCGCTGTGGACCGCATGGAGGCGACATTACCGAAAGAATTGCTCTCGGCCATGGCCGACTACATCGAAATCTTCATGTCTGTGCGCGCGCACATCATGATACGGTTCGGCATGTGGGATGAGATTATCAAGATTGCCATCCCCTCAGATCCAGAGCTGTACTGCATGACGATAGCGGTTCTGCACTACGCCAAGGGCGTGGCATATGCAGCAACAGGGAACGTGCCGGATGCAGAGCGTCAGCGAGAGCTGTACCGGGCAGCGCGAGATCGAGTGCCGGATACGCGCTTGGACTGGCCCAACAAGTGTATCGATATCCTAGGGGTGGCGTCAGAAATGCTGGACGGCGAGATCGAGTACCGCCGTGGGAACTACACGGAGGCCTTCGAGCATCTACGTCGCTCGATTGAATTGGACGATGGGCTGGGCTACAGTGAGCCCTGGAGCTGGATGCAGCCCACCCGCCATGCATACGCTGCTCTTTTGCTAGAGCAGGGCCATGTCGAGGATGCAGCGGCTGTCTACCAGGCTGACCTGGGTCTTGATGGCACTCTTATTCGTGCTCGTCAGCATCCGAATAACGTATGGGCTTTGCAGGGCTACCATGAATGTTTGATACGTCTGGGTCGGAATGATGAGGCACGCATTATTGGGCCGCAGTTGGAGATAGCCGTTGCTGTGGCTGATGTACCTGTAACCTCTTCCTGTTTCTGTCGTCTAGATACCTCACAAGCGCCCACTATTGGGAAGAGTTGTTGCAAATAAATTGATATATGTAAATTGTTTTTCTAACTTATATTTCCAATTCATTATCAATGTATGTATTCTTCCAGGGTTAAGATTGATCAATCGGATGGCGTCTGCCAATGACGAGTTCCTGGATCGTTGGTCCAAAGATCAAACGTCGAACTAGAGGTAATCTTCTCCTATTGATCTTCCCTCGAAGCGATACTTAAAGGAACAGATAGAATGGTAGATTCTCATCAAAACAAGCCCGTCCTTGTCCGATCAGGGTATATATATATCACGTGCCGTGGTGAAGTCGCTGTAGTCAACGTTGTTAGGGCATCGTATATATACCGCTGCAGGGATTATCGAAGGTTCCGATTGTTGTTATGATCATCTCGAGAGGTTACCCTAGCGGTTGATTGCTATATATGTAATCTGCTACATGTAATAACTCAGGTTTAAGCCTGCCCAGTTCCCTGGATTACACTACAACTCAGGGGGTTAGGATTCAACTTTAGCCATGACTGGTTCTAGATGGTGAATTCGAGGTCGAGCTGTAGTCGAAGATGTATGAGATCTCGGGATCACACACTTACAAGGTTATATATTGAAACGTCATTTGCACATTTCAGGCTTTTCCTCCCCTTTTCCGCCGTCGAACATATCTATACAAAAGGACATGGGCCGGCTAAATCTCGTATTGTTAGATGCGAGCAACATATGGAACTCAGTAACCACCACTTACGCCACTGTCAGCATCAGAAACCCGACATATTTCCCCCAAACATCTCAAAAATGACTTGTCACTATTTAAAATACTAACTGATAAAATCTCGGAGACGCATTCGTGTAAAGGCCGTCTGGTCACGTTCTCGGAAAAATTGATTGGCCGAGCCGACGAGATCACCCTAAGGTTCTCTCTCCTCCGCGTGAAGTGAATCTATAGGTCGACGATGATATTGAATTTTCGAGCCCATGTTTGATTCCAATGGAGAATAGACATGGCCGGCAATATATCAATATCGCCGGTTTTGTTCCAGCGTTGTTTCCAGCAAGCGTGGTCCAGATCGCGACGCGCTCGCCTCAATTATGGCAGCGCCAAGTATGGAAAGAATCCCGGTGATAATGACACTCTACAGCTTCCACGGAAGTTTGGTAAGCTTTAAATATTGAAAAATATAGACTCGCTGTTTGTGTCTCAAGATCTTATAGCTGATGCGCGGGATGGTAGGAATCGCTGTCAGTGGTGGCGCCGACTCTATGGCTCTAGCATACCTATGCAAGCAACTGGAGCAATCTTATGATGTTGCTGGAGCTATTTCTGTCACTGCTTTTGTGGTAGATCATCGTTCCCGTCCGGAAAGCACTATGGAGGCACAAAAGGTTGCTGGCTGGCTTCGTGATATGGGTATGTTCCAAGTCGGAATGTTTGCATCTTAGAAGATTGTTTAACCATTATTGAACAGACATCAGAACACATATCCTTAATTTAGACTGGTCTGAAATTATCTCAAGTCAGAATCAATTGTCGCCAAAGCCTGGAGCATCGGGGCCTCTGCCATCCGCCTTTGAGACACATGCACGACGTCTCCGTTTCCAAGCCCTTGGCATAGCTTGTTATGAGTTCGAACTCGAAACATTGCTCTTAGGCCATCATCAAGATGACAACATTGAAACCACCATTTTGCGGCTCTCGGCTGGAGCAACTGGCTTAGGTCTTGGTGGCATTCCTGAAGTTGCTCGAATCCCCGAATGCCATGGTATCTTCGGTGCTTCTGAAAGCTGGTCGACTACATCAATCCCCATAAAACGACCGACAAAACCACAAGCCAAAGTCCGATTCTATAACCAGACACATGGTCACATCACTTCTCCCGACCCAACCGCTAGAACAGGTAACACTCACACCAATCTCATATCCAATGTAAAAATGGCAAGCCCGGGCATATTCGTCTGCCGACCTCTACTCTCCTTCGCCAAAACAAGTCTTCTGGAGACCTGCCACAAAAATCAAGTCCCTTACGTCTCCGACCCAACAAATTTCGACCCAACCCTCACTCCCCGGAACGCCATCCGCAGTCTTCGCACCTCAAACTCCCTACCCCGTGCGCTGGAATCACAATCCATCCTCTCCCTACTTCGGTCAAGCCAAGACCTCCTTCAGAGGTCAAACGAGCTGTCCAACTACCTCCTCTCATCTCAATGCCGGATGCTAGATTTCAACCCCAAGGCAGGGTCAGCGGTCATTCAATTCCTAGACAAAACCCCAGCATCGATGGACCCGCAACTCGCAACATTATCAGCCTCCCGAATCCGGCAGATCCAGACCATCGTTCTCCGCCGCATGACAGAACTAGTCTCTCCCTTCCCCGATAGCCATTTCTCGCTACGCAGATATGAGCCACTAGTTCACAATGTGTTCCCCGGTCTAGATGGCTCTCATGGCGCAAGCGCCACGTCCAATGACGAGAAACGAAGAAAAGGCTTCACGGTAGCGGGGGTTCTGTTCCAGCGTCTCCCAAATGAAGCCTCCAGACTTGGAAAGTCCCACGATCCACGGCTCGGGGGTGATAATATCTGGTTGCTATCCCGGCAACCATTCATGAAAAATCGTGACCCCGTGACCCAAGTCAACGTTTCGCCTAGTGGCAGTTTTACTCCGTGGGTTTTGTGGGATAACCGGTACTGGATGCGGCTTCGTCTCGTTCCGGTCGACCGTGATCCCAACGAACTAGCAGATGAACTGATAAGTCTTCCTGTTACGATACGCCCGTTCAATAAAATTGATATCGAACGGATACGCAAAGATGCGGCTAATTTGAGGCCGCGAGGGCAAACAAATAAGGATTTTACTGCCGGACAGGAAATGCCCGGGACTTTTGAGCACGTCAAGGCTCTCTTGTCTGCTGAAGCGCCTGCTCAGTTGCGCTTTACTTTACCTGTGTTATCAAGGGAAGGCATCGTGTCTAAGCCAGGAAAGCCTCCAAGTCAGAAGGTTTGGCAAAAACTGGCATTGCCGACTTTGGACTATCGACTATCCGGTCATTCAGCTAAGCATTCTTCTCTCAACGAGGTGGAAGTGGTACATCTACGCTGTCGCTGGAAACTGAAATGGCAGTGGATGTACAAAATGATTGACACTGAGGCACTATGCCTGATGGGCTGGCCGGTGGGTAAAGATGCCGAAGAGGCTTAGTGTACATGACAACAACACTTAGACACACAAAAAGCAAGCCTTGTAAAAACTTGATCTCCTGAGCTATGCATGCATGGTCAAATGGCTATCTGTGCAGATAGGCCAGTATGAAGGGTGACAAGAAATAGGAATGAATACAAGTAAGAAAGGCTCATGATATGTATGCAAATGAATAGGCGTTCCAAGGAAAGTAGAAGAGGCTTGTGCGGTATCAAGTTACAAGGTGAAAGGAAAGATAATGTGACAGGTGTCAGGTTGTTGAGTAACCATGTATGGAATATGGGAAAGGAATGATGGTGGGACAAGCCCTCGATGCTGTATATTTGGTCATTGCTCGCTCGCCTTCAGCAGTGCAGCGGCAGCTGACTGGGCTCGAAGACCTCCGACTTCTCGTTTCAAGCGGAAGTTTTCTTTCTTCACTCGGCCGATCTCGTCTAGGGCACTTGCCAGTTGAGACTTCAACGCGTCTTCTGCGTGGCCCAATCGGACATCCTTCGCAATCTTGCTGAGCTCGGTATTAAACCGATCATAGAGAGCCTCGTTCTCGGCGCTTGCCTCACGATAAAGCTCGTCCAATTTCTTAACACGCTTCTCGCTAAGAACCAAGGACGACTCCAGGTCTCGCTCGAGAGCGGATGTGCGGCACTTGTATTCCCCAGTAACTGTCTCAAATCGGGCTTCAAGATTGCGCATGCGAGCTTCAAGGGACGCGGCGGTAGCAGCATGTGGATTGATGTCTGTACGGTCAAAATCAAACTCCAAGTTCATTGCGTTGGGTTTCCTTGGTGGTGTGAGCTTCAGAGAACGTAATTCGTTACCAAGCTCCGTGAGCTCGTCCTTCAGGCCCAATTGGGTAGAGTTTTGGGTTCTCTTTTCTAGTTGAACACGATCGCGTAACTAAGGGATGTCAGTCAACTCATTATCGAAAGAAATAGAATGTGACTAACCTTTTGTGGGCTTTGCATCCGCGGTTTCTGTGGTTTTTGCAAGCCAGACGAGGATTGTGGTCGCTTGGTATCGGAAGCGTTGCTGCTTGGCCGCTCCCGAAGGCCCGGAATCCGCTGGGGGATGCCTGACGTTTGGGATCTCCTCCTTGACTCATCGGCTGGCGATTCTGATACACTGCCCCTGGACTTAAATGCACGCTCCATCTGTGGAGCCCTGGGATCAATGTTCTCCTTCCTGCTCGGCGTCGAAGGGCGGGGCGGAGACAGACGGCGAATGGGTGATCCTAGTCGCGTCGGTGACCCGGATTTTGCTGGCGGCCTAGAACGCATTGGTGACTGACCACGCATAGGTGGTGTTGGTATGTAACTGCTCTGAGGCCTGGACTGGTTGGTGGGCGTTACCACTTCTCCTTGAGGGCGACTGGAAGGGGTCGTCGGGCGGAGCTGTTGAGTTGGAGAGATACTGGATGCATCTGAGGATGATGTGAGTGGTCGTATATCCGAAAGGGAGCTCCTTCTTTTTTTGCGAGTTCTTCGCACGCTATCCTCAGAGAATCCTCGGAAAGAAGATAGAGAGGGTGGGTTGTCGTACCCAGTGCCTGGCCTCGAGATTTGCTCCTCAGATGCAAACCCGTACGGACGATACGGAAGGTCACGGGATAAAGGCCGATCGCGAGAAGCAGGGCTACCGCGAGAGATAGGGCGATCACGAGATGTAGGGCGATCACGGGATGTAGGACGATCGCGCGATGTAGGGCGAAGGAAGCCCAGACGAGAGTCCACATCAGTCGACTTTGAGCGCATCAAAGAACCCTTGGGCGTATTGAGCTCCGAGCCGGCTGGGCTTTGCTTCTTGCTTAATGTCCGTAGAATTGCTGCGACTTTGCTTTCGCCTTCATTTTTCGGAGTATCTCTAGACATACCGAAGCCGAAGCGTTTCCGGAAAGAGGAAGAATTGGAACCGACTGACCCGGTATTGGCATGTGATTTCGATTGATCGCAGGTCAGTGTTCCTTCCACTGAGGTACCCCCAGGAATAAATTCTTCAAAGAGGTTGTCAAAGTCTTCGACCAGTCGGTCCAAAAGGGAGACATGATGGCTAGGATCTCCGTCTTCGGTGAGTACCTCCGCAAATGCCATCGTCAAAGCACCGCGATCTCCGTCATTTCCAGATGCATCGAGTAGCTCGGCAAGTAGTCGAATAATCGCAGCTAGAGCTCGTCTATTTTGCGGGCTCATGTCTGTCACAAATTTCCGAAATTGCTCATCAAAATCCCGCGGTATCATGGTGTCAAACTGGCTCTGAATCCATTTCAGAGAAGAGGAGCTCAAGACGGGGCCCATACTTGTTCTCCAAGCATTCGCCAAAAAGGTTTCGAAAGCGACAAAAAGCGTATCAACTGGCACTTCGGCGGCAGCCTGAATTCTGCTCGGGTCTTCTAGCAAAATATTGTAGAGCTCATTGACCGGCGCCCGGTCAACGTGATCTCTGACCCGAAGCATTCGACCCAGAATGTTTCCACTCCGAGACTGCAGAGAAAGCACATAGGCTGCAAATGTCTGCTCCAGCAACCCGAACTGAGTATCCAATCCCTTGGAGGCAGATGTCCCAACGACAGATATCCTGTTCCCGGTTTCCTCTTTCTCTTTCTCCTTTTCCTTGTCCTTGTCCTTGTCTTTTCCTGGGAATGCCGAAGGTAGAGTGTTCGATCTCGACAGATTCACTCTTGGCGGAGGCATTTTTGGGAATTCGCCGGTAAGAGTGGCCGACCCTGGCCCCTTGAGAGTGGGCACATTATCACGGCTACCCCCCAACAGGTTTGAGATTAGTTTGGTCGGCGAAGGTGGCCGGAAGCCCCGTGAAGACTTGACCTGCGTGATTAAGCTGCTCGCGATGTACCGAAGAATTTCAAAATTAGAATGAACCAATGAGTTCGTCAATGCTGGGTTTCGGGCGCTATGCAGAGGCGAGAGCAAATATTGAACTTTGTTTCTTATGTCAGTGGCAAGAAATATAATTCTCAAGGGAGGGTCACTTACGACGTCGCGAAAGAGTGGAAATAAATGTGTCCACCGTGATCAAATCTGTAGACCCAGATCCAACCACAGAATCGATATCTAGTCTGTATTGATCTCCATTTGGAGGAGATATTGATATGATGACCTCAAGGTTGGAACCTCTCAACATTTGACCGCAGGTCGCCTTGGATGTATCAAAAACAATGCGTATTGGGGATGCCTGAATCTGGTCGAGCGCGGCACTTTCACCGTCCTCGCACACACAGGCGAGTATTCCCACGTTACTCGCAGACCCGGTGGGAGGGCTTCTTAGCGTCCATTTACCTCCTTCTCTTTCACTCTCGGGGAATCGACCCTCAATCTTCGCCTTGGATATTTCTTCGATCAGTCGATTGGCTCTTCCTTCATACGTTCCAGCCAGTTCCAATGCAAGCAGGTCAGAGCTTGTCTCTTCTTTTGAGGACTTGGCTGAAATTGGCACGGCGAACAAAATTCGACCACACGTGGATTGCATACAACGCACGTTATGAAAGTCTAGCACCTGCACAACCTGGAGTTCGGATTGTGGCAAAGACATGGACATGTCATTGGTTGAAGCGGCCGCATTGTCGATATCAGCCAGCAGACCACGTGCCGTAGTCCGGCTTTCGGCGGGTTTCTCTAGAAGGACTAGGCAGTTCTTATAAAGAAGCATGATCCCTGTGCTGCTTCTGCCAGATGACTGTGTGTCTAGACGGTACGGCTGGGTAATTTCGTTGAAATCGACTGCAGTAATCAGCCGACCTTCAGGGAATGTTTTCGCTGGCCATCCGTTGACTAGCTCTTGGAGGCGTTGAAGGCTTTGGGTGTGGCTCGATGGGGAATTATTCTCTAGCGCACATATATCCTTCACAATGTCTCGTGCTTTTAGCAGAGTTCGCACGGCAGGATGGACCAAGGGCAGATTGCTAGTCATGGTGTCAATCAGCAGACTGTATCGAGGTAGTCGCTGGACGGGTTCCATCAACAGAGAGCGCAGTCTCTGCTCTCCCGTTTCGTATACTCTCTTGGAAAAGCTAGAATTCTTATCTTTCATGAACGAATTCAGAGTTTGCGTGAAGCCTGTATGTGCTCGCATGTAGTCTCCATATGGCTGTGAAAATTGTGGTAGCCATTCAAAGAGGGCCTTTGCGAATGCCAGAATTCCAAGCGGATCCGATCTATCTCTTGGCAAACCCCGACGATTAGAAGGCAGCTCCGTGTCCTGACCAATATCTGTGATGGCATCTTTCTCTGTTTCATCAAGCACATGACGAATGACATCGAGAAAGCCCAGGTTGACTTCCAGAATTTCATTCAAACATGGTGGGAATAATGCCGCCAAAGCTGCCTCGTCGGGGCTGTTGCTGGATGGTCCTCTGCCCACGGCCTTTTGCCGAAACTCGTCGGCCACTTCATGCACAAGAGAATAAAGTTTGGCGACATATCTCTCTTCGGTATCCACAAGCTCACACATGGTAAGACGAAGAGCTTCTTTCTGGCTTCTTGCGAACAGCCGTGATTTGCTGACATTGGTCGGCTGGGACGGCGCACGCTTCAATCGAGCTGTTGGCAAAAACATAGGATCTCCCAACGCCTCTATCAGGGGTGTGTATGGACCATACTGCGGATTCTGACCTCCCTCAAGATCTGATCCCATACTCTCTCGCCGTTGGAATGGTTGTATAGTACCCGTAGGAAGCACCACATCAATGTCGACCCATGGTACCTTGCGTTCCTGATATGCGCTCCGAATATCCTGAATAATCTCCAAAGAATCATCCACCTTTGTCATACGGTTGGCAAGATCTGCAGCATGCATCTCATCAAACATCTTGGGGACCTTTCCTCCCGGTCTTCCAGTGCGAGCCACCCCAGTCAGACGGTGCTTCACCGGCTCCGACAGCTCGGCAAAATATCTCAGCATGCTGACTGCAAGTCCACGACACACCTCATCACCTTGTTTTTCGCGGGGTAGGTGGTTGACCGCAGCATACACGGGGGCAGCCGGGGACACCGTAATCCGAGGGTAACTTTGAAACCCGGCGGGTGTGAATATATGGGCCTGAATACGGGAACTGCTCACTGTAGCATTGGCGGTAGAGACGGCGCCATAGAAGACGAAGATGGATGATAAACATGGGTCGACGACGTGATAGAGGCTGAGATGTTCGAGAGGAAGGTCCGCCAGTGTACAGATTCCGGAGGGAGGTGCGATAGTCGCCATAACGAATGGTGGTGCACTTGCAATGCAAGTGCAGAATGCGAGAAGATGTTGGGCAAGCGCTACCGTGTGCGATAAACAAATGAAATGCGCCGGGGTTTGTCGCAGAAGGAACGTTGGAGTAGCAAGATAACGAGTGACGGGAAAGACAAGATCGTAATGTTTAGAATTAAATGAGAGAAAATTTCCTATGCTGAGCAGTGAGAGACAGTTGAAAATCGCATGTAGGATGTGTTATCCTGTTGTTGGTAAAGCGATTGCGACATTCGCGCTCCCCTCCATAGAAGCTGAGGTACCAAAGATATCCACTCAATTCATAGATTCAGGGAGTAGACACGTGCAGTGGCGTAAATCCGAATGAAAATCTCCAGAAGGTAAGTAAATGAAGTGTAAGATCGAGAGGAGGCGTTTGTTTTGAGACGCGGGGACAGAGAAGCGGTGGGTTGATATCGCGATAGCCCGATAGACCAAGAGTGGGTATTAGCGCCTGACGCTAAGAATAGTAAAAGAATAAAAGAATGACTTGAATATGGATACCCAGCTTAGCCCGATGTCCTAGGTTGTAGGAATTACATTCTCTACTTCGACCTGTCCCGCACTCTTGTTTTTAATGTTTACTCTACTATGTTTGTCCGGCCAACGCTATCAACACCGTTGCTATCGTTGCGATCCCCAACCGCTGCAAGGATCAGTGTGACAGGTCACATCTGCATAATTCGCTGAATATATGGGGTTCTTCGCACCTTGTTTATTCTTCACGCTTTCAGATCCTTGTATACAAGCTTAGATTTTAGGACAAGAATAGACGGGAATACTAATTCGGTCTGAGGGACAATGCCATTATGTTCTAGACAGTTTAATACGCTCGTTTCATGAAGAATGTTCGTAGTCAATTCGAAAATCTCATCTTTGTTTACTCGGGAAATATATCAGCCACTATATCGATGATCGCCGGTTTAATATGTTGATGATTTCATGCATACATGATGTAGGTGAAGCTTCTGATTGGCTTTTTACCTCGTATTTGCACGTTTTATACTGCGATTATCTGACTATAATGGCATGTAGTGTTGAATTGGCATAGAAGGATGTCAACAAAGGTGAAATCAAACATTTTGGATCCATGGATGCAGTCTAATACCAGATGGTACATTGATACCGCATCGGTGCAGATTTTCATCCAGTCCAATCAGTTTAATACAGATTGTGTGGTAATGTGCAGTACAGCCCCTGTCGTAGGCGGTGAGTGGGCGGGGAAGACGCTAAGCTCGATAAGGCAAGCAGCAGTATGATGATCAAGAGACCAGCTGTTTCGTTCGACCTTCAAAATGGTGTCACAACAGCGAGCATCTTTTGTGATGCTCGATCCCACTATGGACTCGTCTTCTCTTCCAATTGCCATAGACCCGGTGGCTTTGGTGACCACTGAATGTATCACCGTCACCTCGTCTATGCGCAAGCATGCACGCTGGGCTCACTCCTCAGTCTCCGCCATCCTGGGCGGCAATGGAGCCTCTCGTGTTTATGAGCGGGATAACTCTGCCCCCTCAAGTCCAATTCCACGCAGGACTGGTCAACCGTCACCTCGTCCCGATGAAGATCATGTCCTGGCTAATCGGTGGGGTCTGCGAGGGAAGAAGGGGAAGAGCATGCAGGACAACCCATTAATATCGGCCTTTACACGACTGCGGAGTGATCTGAAAGATTGCAAAGATATCCGAACTTTTGATACCCCAGCGTTACTTCATCCATTCCTACAGGTCGTTCGCTCCTCTTCGACCTCCGCCGCAATTACCTCTATCGCCTTGGTCTCCATTACCAAGTTCCTCTCGTACAATATTATCAACCCGAATTCCCCACGGCTCTCTGTAGCTATGCAGCTACTATCAGCCGCGATCACACACTGCCGATTTGAGGCCAGCGACTCGTCGGCGGACGAGATAGTCCTTTTGAGGATTCTGAAGTTGATGGAGGGCATACTTTCACGACCTGAAGGCGAACTTTTGGGCGACGAGAGCGTCTGTGAGATGATGGAAACTGGTTTGAGCATGTGCTGCCAGGGTCGTCTGTCAGAGGTACTTCGGAGATCCGCCGAAATGGCAATGGTCAAAATGTGCCAGGTGATCTTCATGCGTCTATCGCATCTTGATCAAGGAGTGCCCGCAGGACCGGATCCATTTGCGGGCGAAGATACAAAAAAGGACCCACCCTCTCGTCTGAAGATGGACCCGTCGGTTAATGGAGACACCGTGACTTCGCAGCACCTGTCAGCCATCAGCGCAGACACATCGGCCGCAGAACGTCATAGTACTAGTCGAGAGGGATCACCCGAGCAGGCAGGAAATGGTATCGCAGCAGCTACTGCACCACCTAGCCCGCATGATGATCCCGAAACCGAGCTTCAGCCCTACTCCTTACCATCCATCAAAGAATTATTCCGTGTCTTGATCGACCTGTTGGACCCTCATAACCGGCAACATACAGACGCCATGCGTGTGATGGCACTCCGAATTATTGATGTTGCCTTGGAAGTAGCAGGTCCTTCCATTGCTCGGCATCCCAGTCTGGCTGCCCTGGCTAAGGACGATCTTTGTCGATACCTCTTTCAGCTAGTCAGGTCAGAACACATAGCTATTCTAACTGGTTCGTTGAGAGTAGCTGGCACCTTGTTATCAACCTGCCGGCCAGTTTTGAAATTACAGCAGGAACTCTATCTTTCATATTTAGTGGCCTGCTTGCACCCTCGCGTGGAAATACCGCGAGAACCTGGCATCGACCCATCGCTCTACGAAGGAATTCCTGAATCACCAAAGTTGGTGAAACAGCCAGCTTCGCAGCCCAATAGCGGACGAGCCACACCTGTTCCTGTTAGAGATCGACAGAGATTGGGGCTCGAAGGAGGATCAAGAAGGCCCGAAGCTCGAGAGGCAATGGTAGAGAGCATTGGCATGTTGTCACGCATACCTAGCTTTATGGTTGAGCTTTTTGTCAACTATGATTGTGACGTGGACCGAGCCGACCTGTGCGAGGATATGATTGGATTGCTCTCTCGCAATGCTTTCCCAGACTCTGCAACTTGGAGCACTACAAATGTACCCCCGTTATGTCTCGATTCCCTTTTGGGCTATGTGCAGTTCATCCATGATCGGCTGGATAACGAGCCTATACAAGGAGATTATCCTCCTCAAGAAAGCTTGAAAAAACAACGCCACACGAAGAAACTCATTATCAAGGGGGCACAGATGTTCAATGAGGATCCTAAGAAGGGAATTGCCTTCCTTGTGAGCCATGGTGTTATTGAGGACGCGAATAATCCCGTTCTGGTTGCTCGCTTCTTGAAGGGCACCACACGCCTGTCAAAGAAAGTCCTCGGAGAATACATCTCCAAACGCGGCAACGAGGAGTTGCTAGGCGCATTTGTGGATCTCCTTGACTTCGAGGGACGTAGTGCAGTGGAAGCTCTTCGGGAACTACTCAGTTCATTCCGTTTGCCTGGTGAATCGCCGCTCATTGAGCGAATTGTGACGATCTTTTCGGAACATTACATTGAAAAGGTCAAGCCGGATGGCATCGCCGATAAAGACGCACTATACATTTTGACCTACGCCATCATCATGCTGAACACCGATCTCTACAACCGCAACGTGAAGTCACAAAACCGTATGACTTGCGCTGGCTTTGCAAGGAACTTGCGAGGCGTCAACGGGGGTGGAGACTTCGCGGAGGAATTCCTCGAGGATATCTATGACTCTATCAAGAATAACGAAATCATTCTACCCGATGAACACGAAAACAAGCATGCATTTGACTATGCTTGGAAGGAACTATTGCTGAAGTCTTCATCTGCCGGCGACGTCATAGTGGGAGAGACCAACATGTATGATGCCGAAATGTTCGCGGCTACGTGGAAACCAGTGATTGCGACCCTCTCATATGTCTTCATGTCTGCATCAGATGATGCAGTATATTCCCGCGTGGTCAATGGTTTCGACCAGTGTGCCCAGATTGCTGCCCGCTATGGCTTGACGGAGGCGTTCGACCGTATCGTCTTCTCCCTTGCATCGATTAGCACTTTGGGTACTAGCAAACCTCCTAGTACAGCGCTCAACACAGAGGTTCAGGTTGGTCAGAAGAGTGTGATGGTAAGCGAGCTAGCCGTCAAATTTGGCCGAGACTTCAGAGCACAACTGGCAACTGTGGTGCTTTTCCGAGTCCTCTCAACAAATGAGTCAACTGTCAACCAAGGCTGGGAGTATATCGTCCGCATATTGAGTAACTTGTTCATCAACTCTCTCATCCCGCCGTTTGACGCTAAACTCACGTCCGAACTTGAAATATCTCCAATTCCGCTACAGCCTCCATCACAGGTGATTGATCGGGATGGACGCAACAACGACACGGGAATTTTGTCTGCATTCACATCTTACCTCTCAAGTTATGCGGCAGACGATCCTCCTGAGCCTTCGGACGAAGAACTTGACAACACACTCTGCACAGTGGATTGTGTGACTGCCTGCTCAATATCCGAAATTTTGACAAATATTAAGTCAGTAAAGATGTTTCATTGATGGGTTGTGGTCATGATACTGACTTCTTCCGCAGATCTCTTCCTCTGTCCTCATTGGAAATGCTCGTGGAGGCTTTGCTGTCGTTGCTTCCCGAGGAGAACGCACCAGCAGTCATTGTCGTAAAACCCGAACGCCCGACACCAACGTCAAGGGTTGCCAACAGCAGAGCTGACCCTAACCAACCTAAATACGATCCTTCGATGATATTCGTTCTAGAGTTGGCGACGGTGCTCACTCTTCGTGACGAAAAGACCCTGGAGGTTCTCGGTGAAAACCTGGCAACAACTCTTCAAACACTGGTGCGCGATGCGAAGAATCTCCATCCGCTAACCGTGTCTCGTGTTGTTTCTTACCTCCTAAATCTCTTGCGGCTGAGCCATGTATGTACTCTCCTTTACCCTGTGGCTTTGATGTAGGTTCTCCTTTACTGATCCC